GGCCTCATCCCCATGCTTCAGCCCATAAGGGTGCAGGGGCAAGGCTGGGGACATCGAGACCTCTCAGAACTCCCAGGGAAGGATCATCTCTCCCCTCTGTCCCCAAGGACAGGGCTCACCAGATGGGGAGCGTGTCCAGCCTCACCTCTGATCTCCTTGCTCCAGGTCGCCTGGCTCTGCGGGACTGAGGGGATGGGTGTCAGCCGAGAGCTGGGGTCTACCCGCCACAGCCAACCCTCTCCAGAGCCCTCATCCACGCCCACCCACCAGCAGCAGTCAGAGCATCTCCATGGTGGCCTTGTGTGTTGCGTGGTGCAATGGTGGCCTTGTGTACTGCGTGGCTGCGATGGCTTATACCCAGGGCTGAGGTGGGGGCCTGGGAGGGGGTCAAGGTGGGGCTGGGGGGCCTGTAACTCAGCTCCGATACCCATTGTTCGTGTATCCAGCAGGCCTGTAGTGCGGGTGGGGCAAAGAGGTGACAGCACACAGATGGCTTCCAGGCCGTCCCGTGAACGGGGTTGTCCAGGCACCCAGGGCTCAGGAGGGGCTCCCCACCCCATTGGCAGGCCTGAGCCTGAGTCAAGCGATCCACAGAGGGAGGCCTGGCACTCTGCTGCCCTGAGGAGCCGACGACGTGAGATGTCTCCTTCCCTGGACCCTGCCAACTCCCGCAGGGGGTTACAGACCATCTCGCAGCCTCCTGGGACTGGAGTGGGCATGTGTGGACAGGGTGGTCAAGATGTGCACTGGGAGAGATTAAGGGGCTGCAAGCCAGGGGCCCACAGTGGGTGTCTGCAGAGAATGATGAGGGATTCTGTGGTAGAAAATCATAGCTGAGCATCTGGGAGCATGACTGGGGACACACTGGCCAAAGGAGAGCGACCCCTGGAGCGGTGAATGAGGAACTGGCAAGGCGGGCTCACATTGCGCACCTTGGAGATCAGTGGGGGCTGCTCCGGCGGGGCGGGGGGGGGGGGAGAGGGTCTGAGTTAGGCAGTGGGGACTCCATTGTCAAAGTGAGGGTCCCTGGGACACTGCTCTAGCTCCCCAAACCCAAGCCAGCCTTCACCTGGTCAAACCAGATGCGACAGTGGGGTGCTTGCTTACACCTGGCCCTGATAGGAGTGGGCCCCTCACCTTCCCCTGACTCTGAGGAATCTTGGCTAAAGCCCCCTATCTGTGTCCCCAGAACACCAGCACGGGGCCTGGGGAACCCCCTGGGAGTAGTGTCCAAGCCTGGTCGGCAGGGAGGGGCTGGGAGAGGTGGCACTCTCTCCTGAGCTGCTCTGGTCACATTCACGGCCTTGCCCCCTCAAATGCACCACCGTGTAGAATGTCAAACCCCACAGCCCTGGCCTCCTGGCTCGTATGAGGACGAAGCCAGCATTTACCAAAGGGTGGCTCATGGGCTGCCGGTCCAGGAATTCTGGGAGCACATAGGAGACAATGAGGCAGCCCTGGTTATCATTTTACTGTTTTAATCTAATATTTTTTATTAATATTGGAAAAAAGTATACCACTGCCATATGAATCCTAGTTTTATAAATATTACTGTTAAAGTCAAGGCTAAGTTGGAAAAAGAGAAAGACAAAAAGAAGGAGAGGCAAAAAGACATGATCTAAATAACATAATAGAAGTGGGACCAGTGGTATTTGTTGCTGGCCCGTCTTCCCCAAACAGCCCCGAAGAGCAGGATTTTGTCTGTTTGGTCTCCAGCTGTCTTCCCAGCACTTAGAACAGCGCTCGCTTGGCACATAATAGGTGCTCAATAAATACTAGTCCAATGAATGAATAGCAAAAATTAAGAAAACCATTCTCAAATGTCCAACTTTGAGTAAATAATGAAATGACATACATGAAACTCTCAGCAGCACCTGGCACATAAGAAGTGCTAATAAAACATTATTATGTATTATGTACGAGTGCACCAAATAGGCATTCTAGACAAATGCTGACTAGCTGAGCATTAAAATCAGGATATGCCCAGGGCGTCTGGGTGGCTCAGTCAGATGAGCATCCGACTTCGGCTCAGGTCATGATCTCACGGCTTGTGAGTTCGAGCCCTGCATCGGGCTCTGTGCTGTTAGTGGGAACCCACTTTAGATCCTCTGTCTCTGTCTCTCTCTCTGCACCTCCCCTGCTCACGTTCTCTCTCTCTCACAAATAAATAAACATTGAAAAATATTTTTTAAATAAAATAAATAAAGTCAAGATACACCCAAAGCTAGATATCACGATCCTAGGATGAACTTCTGAGATAGAATAACAAATCTGAAAATGTATTGCTGTCACAGCATTATGATCCACAGTCACAGCAGGCAAATCTTTCAGGTTGAACACTTCAGTGAGGGATAATTTCTCCACTTTGTCAACTGCCAACAGACTCCTCCAGTCAAGAAGATTCTGTGGTGGTTCTAGAACACGGCCCCAAATTCCGTAAATAGGCCGCGAGGTGGTCGGTCTCTCTCTGCTCTTCTGAGACTGGGCAGGTTTGTGAAGGCTTCGACCGACTGAGTAGAGCAGAGGGGAGGCTGGGGTGGAAGAGGCAGTGTTTGCGGAAATGCTCAGAGACACCTGGGAAGCCCAAATGTCCTGAGGCAGCTGGTAGCTGAGCCCAACCTCTGAGCTGCTCCAGCCCAGGCACCAGCCGTGGGAACAAAGCAGCTCCCCTAGTCCAGTCTCTGTCCACCGAGTCCTTCCTCCCTTTAGATCTTCCAGCTGTGGGTCTGGACGTCCCAGAGACAAGCTGCCTCTGCTGCTCCCGTTTGACCTCCTGCGCCACAGAATCCATGAGCGCGATTAGATGCTTGCTATTTTACCCCGCGAAGTTTGGGGTGTTTTGTTATGCAGCAGGAGGACTGGAACAGCTGCTCACTTAATAGCTGCAGCATTTAAATAGTATTACTTCTTCTGCAGAAACTAAAAATCCACTCCCTACTCCCAATCTGCCTTGAAGGTTCACAGTGATTATTTCCGATCGTCGCAATCACTGTTAATCAGGGTGGCATTTTCCTTGTAAGAGAGCTTTGTGGAAGACTGTGAGTTCCTCCTTGCACTTCGCTGGGAGGAAGCCAGCTTATAAACCACACGCGGGGCTTTCCCTCCCAAGTCACACCCAGAAGGCTTTTCCATAGTTGAAAGCGAATATTCAGATAGAAACACTATGAACGCAAAGCCCTGCTTGTGTTCCAGATGGGGTGACATCGGTGGGCCGAATACTTCTGGCTCGGAGATGCACACCAACAACACAGAAATAAGAGTTTTGATCAACTTTTCTAAGACCCAGACCTCAACAGAACATCAAAACAGCCCTGTATTGTCATTCTTTTTCTAATATCTGCATGGCTACTTGGAGAGGGGGCGAGGTGGGTGGGGGCAAAGGAGAAACTGAGGTTCACCGACCCCCCCCCCGGGCAAACAAAGGAAACTGGTAAATGGCTATTGAATGAGTCACAGACTCCCCAGCTGCCTCCGTCCCTCCAAGGGAGCAATGATGGCAGTGGAAGCCAGCGTGGCTGACCTGTTCCAGTACACTTGCTCTTGCCTTTTAATGCCCAGACGTCCCCTAGATCTACTAGAACAGGGCTGTGTCCCCTGCGAGCCCCAGGGCAGGCCGTGCCCTCTTCAGTCCCCTCCAGAGCAGGGTCATGTCTGCTCTGCCCAGCCCCCTCCTTCCAGGGTCGGCACCTCCAGGACTTCGCTCCAGTCTGCTCAGTACTCCTACGATGGGTTGTGTTTGCTCATCCCCGAGCCTCATAAAACACATGTGCAGGTCATTTTTAGCTAATTGCAAAAGAAAATTTACATTCACATCTCTGTAACTCAACACATTTCTAACAAAACAATGTGTAAGTCAAGTCCCAGATAGCATGGGTAGGATGGTGCATTCACATGCAGACATCTGGGAAACCCGCCTGGAGCTTGCAAATGAGACGGGAAAGGGGGAGACCTGGGGGTGCTCCTGAAGGACAAAGCAATGGTGAGGACCAACTGCGCTAAGAGTTTGGTATCCAGGGAGTGAGGCTTGGAGTCTGCCATTCGGAGGCACTTTCCTGTGTCTGTGTTTTAGGAAATTGCTTGGATGGATGACACATTAACATTTTTATCACCGAAAATCATGGGAAACAGGCACCGGCGAGCATTTTCCTGCAGACCAGCTGGTTTTCAGCAACACGTGGACTAGACCAGGGCAGAAAGCACTTGATTTCTGCCAGTTCAGGGGCAGCAGCACCCCCTGGTGGCCGGCAGGCGCTCTGCAGATGCTCTAGGGAACAGAGGGAAGCTGGGACCCAACCTCCAGCCCAGACCAAGGAAGGGGTGGCTGTCTCAGGTTCTGCTCACAGGGCCTGGCGCTCCTGTCTCCATCCCGCAGGGCCCAGTTTCCTGTGATGGCCTATGAGGAATGTCTTTTTTCCCCACTAGGCGTCTACATCCTGTTTTTAGAAAAAGCACCCCATTTTCCATTGGGGAGCTCTCTATACTCAAGTCATATAGTTCTTGAGGGTCAATCCCTGACTCCATGTATAACATGCACAGTGATTTGATGAGGGACAAGCATATGGCCCAAATCTGTCCAGTGAGAGCCAGGCCTGGGCCTTGCTGTAGTCATGGGGAAAGAATTCCCTTTCCACTGGGGCTGCTAAATGCTCCTTGAAGAGAAGCCTAGTGTTTGGGTGAGTAGGGGACATCTCTGTCTCTGGCTGTAGTGGAATCTTCTTGGAAATAAAGCCACCATGGAGAAAAGTAGATTTGACAGAGGAAATGAGGCACAGCCCTGATGAAAAATATTTGAGCAGCTGGATCCAACAGTACCTGAAGCTGCTTGCTCCAGGGCAGTTTCCGTTAAATGAACCAATTAATTTTTTTCTCTCAAGCCAGTGGGGACCGGAGGATAATGCTCCCTGCCTGGTTTGCACCAATCCCTAATCTCTCTCCTCCCCCCTCCACAAATGTCCCCATTGCTGTTCACATTTGCAAACTCAGAGGCCATGTTAATCAAAACCATCTTTTTTATTTAAAGAGCATCCTGTCATCAGGGGCACCTAGATGGGGGTCCCCAGATGGCAGAACAATATTTACATGGGGATCAGGAGGGTGAGGCTCGGGTGGTCCCAGGGCTGAGTGGGCCCGCCACTGTGGAGGGAGGGTATCCTTGGACCTGTGGGCTCAGCCCAAGAAGAAAAATGTCCCACTCCAGGCCCAGGGTGAAGCCCACCGGAGGGGGGAGCGAGGGGAAGCTGGAGCCACCTGGGTGAACTTGGGCCCTGGAGGTGTGCGCATCAAGGAGAGGCCACAGGTCAGAGCTGGGTCACCATGCCGCTGGCTTCGGAGTGAGTCTGGGGAAAGACGACTGGGGGCTTCTGAGGTCTGAGAGGCTTCCCCAGCTCCCCTCCCCTCCCCAGAAGCCCCCTGAAACCCATCTGTTCCCTAGGCCGTCCTCTTCTGGGCCTGAGCACAGGTTTCCAGAAAACCTGCCTCCTCCCTCTTCCCCATCAGAGTCTCAAACACTCTGGCCCCCCGGCTCCCATCTGGGCCCAAAGTTCACCTTTATGGCCTGGAAGATCCACTCCCGGAAGTCACTGACTTTGGTGTAGACACCCGGCTTCTGGGCCAGGGCACAGCCGGTGCCCCAGCTCACGATGCCACACAGCCGCCAACGTGGCGTCCGAGAGATGCTGTCCTCACACACGAAGGGGCCACCGCTGTCACCCTGGTGGGGGGAAGGGGAGGCCTGGCTGGAGGCCGAGAGGGCATCCAGGAGGCCCTCTGGGATGGCCGGCAGCTGTGGTCACAGAGCCCCCTGGGCCCGAGATGGGGAGCCCAACCACCCCCTGCCCTGGGTCCACCCCTGCAGTGGCAGGGGCTAGGGGCTACCCCCACGCTCCCTCACCTGGCAGGCGTCAATGCCACCCTCAGGGTAGCCGGCACAGAACATCTTGGACTTGATCTGGTTCGCGTAGAAGTCGGGGCCATTGCAGACATCGTTGCTAATTATGGGGACTCGGGCCTCCTGGAGTACCCCAGCCTGTTGGCCTGGGGGTGTGCGGGCAAGGCTGGCCAGAGCTGGGGAACACACACGGCCCCCTTCCCTCCCGGTGCCCGCCTGGGCCCTTCAGTGTCCCCATGCCCCGGGGCCGAGAAGCATTTGGCCAGCCAGACTGCCTCTCCCCAGACCGTTCAGCATCCCTAACCGCAGCCCCGCAGGCAGAGGACGGGACTCACCGTAGTACTGCGTGTTGCCCCAGCCGGTTACGGTGCAGATCTTGCCGTCCACCAGGGCCTGGCCGGCGGCCGGGAGGCACACGGGCTGGATGTATTCTGTGAGAGAGACCACACGCTCCAGCCTCTGCTGGCCTGGCCCACCTTGTACCAAACCTCTGTCCAGCAGCCTCAAGTGCCCCGGCACACCCTTTCCTCGGCTCTTTTAAAATAACCACGGTAGGCGTTGCCATCAGTGGAGAGTTAACCATGTACTAGGCGCTTTGCTGTATCCTCCAAACTCCCATCAGCCCAGCTTGGGGGGGGGTGTCGCCCTACTAGCCCATTTACAGAGGAGGGACATGAAGCCAAGTCACTTGTCCGGAGTCTCATAACGACTCAATGACAGAGCTAGAATTGAACCCAGGTTGGCCTGATTCCCGAGCCTGCGTTCTCAACCACGGCCCACAGGGCCGCCCCCTGCCTAGAGGGTGCCTTTGTGAGAAATAGAAAAAGGCATCCCTATCTTTAGATATTTGACTTCCAACTGCCAGAGAATCATTGTAATAAATACACAGGTCTACACCCACAACAGTGAGAATGGCGTCCCTGAGATGTGATGCCCTTGTGCAGCGCACAACACACACAAAGGGTCTCAGCAGCTCTGTCTACTCCCTACTGATGACTTCCCGGGCCTGAGCCTCAGAGCGCTCAGCTATAAAATGGACAGAATAATCGTTTCCCCCAGAGGTTGTAGTGAGAAACCGGTAAAGCACTGAGCAAATCGGAAATGCTCACATGAACTAGTAATAGTAACAAACAACGACAATAGCAATGACTGCTAACGTTAACTGGATGCCTGCTACGTACTGGCATCGCTCTAGGCTCTTTACTCATATTACCCTTTTAATCATCTAGGAAACCCTAGAAAGCCGTTTAATGGATCAGGGAAACTGAGGCACAGACAGGTGAAGCCACACACACAAGACCAGCACCTGAATGTGACCCCAAGTCCTATGCCGTTACCCCCTCAGTCTCATGTCTCCAACTCAAGCCACTCACAGCCCCTCCCCCTGTGTTTCCACGGACACTTCTATACTTCAATATTTGTAACCCACCCTAAATACAAAGCTTTGTTTAAAAAAAAATGTGTATCTGGGGCACCTGGGTGGCTCAGGTCATGATCTCATGGCTCGTGGGTTCAAGCCCTAAAGGCTCTGTGCTGTGAGCATGGAGCCCGATTTGGATCTCTTCTCTCTCTCTCTCTCTCCCCCACTAGTGCTCTCCGTCTCAAAAATAAATACATATATTAAAAAAAGAAAAATGTGTATCGTCCCCTTCAGTGGGAAAACCAGTAACACGGATCATTCAAAGGAAAATAACCATGAAAATAAGTACAATGCAAACCACAAAACAGCACTGGCAGCACAGCCTGGGGGCTGCTCACAGATTCCCATGCCAGGCGGCCTCGGCTCAGATCCTTGCCACTGTCCAGCTGCAGGACTTTGGGGCACAGTTCGCTTCTCGGTGTCGGGATCTGTCCCAGTGTGGAGACAAAGGATCAGAGGAGGACCCACCCTCCCCAGGCTGCAGTGGGGGCTGGATTGTACTCTTTCGTCATCATTGTACCGTTGCCTGCCGAAGGCTCATCATCCTCACGATTACAACCTGTCACTATTGTGTTTATGATTAGTGTCACCACACTGTGGCCCTGCTGAAAGCGGAAGCCCAAGGCCTGCTCTGCATCCAGCGGCCGGCCCTGGAGAAGCGTCCTGGCCCCAAGGGGAGTCTTTCCCGACAGCAAGGAAATGCCCCAAGGAACTGAAGAGGGACTAACTTCTGAGTCCCTCTCTGATTCATTCACGTATTTTAAACGCTATTTTTCATTTCATCTTAACTCTATTTTTTGGTAACAGCTTTTTTGAGACGTAATTCACACACCGCGCAGGCCACCCCCTTCAAGTCAATGGCTTTTCGGTGGGTTCACATAGAGTTAAGTTGCGGCCCGGAAACAGGAAGGAGCGACCATCACCTCGATCCAGTTTAGAACAGAAGAGATCCTGTTTTCTTTCCTTATCCCCTCCCAATCTCCCCGCCCCAGCCTCACCCCTACCTCACACCTCCCCCGGCCCCTGGCAACCACGGATCTACTTCCTCTCTCTCCACACTTGCCCATTCTGGACGTTTCACATTAAGAGAATCACAGAGTGGCCTCTCGTGTCTGACTTCGCTGGTTTAGCGCAGGGTTTCCAAGGTTCATCCGAGTGCGTCTTGCGTCGGTCCTCTGTCATCCCTTCGTGTATGGATGGGCCACATTCTGTCCACCCATGTGTCAGACATGTGGGTTGTTTCCATCATGGCTGTCGTAAACAGAGCTGCCTCGAACGTCTGTGTGTAAGATTCTGTGTGGACACCTGTTTTCATTTCTTCTGGGCGTGTACCCTGGGGTGGAATGGCTGGGCCCGAGGGTAACTCCATGTCTGACTTTTCAAGGAATGGCCAGATGGTTTTTCAAAGTGGCTACACCGTCATACCTATTTAATGCCGTCAAGATCATTTCCCTCATCACCATGGATTCCTCTGGCTCTGTCCTCTCTGCTCCCAGCCTCTGGAGTCCCCAAGGCCAAGGCTCAGCTCCCAGACTTACCGGTGAGGGGCAGGGGGCTGGACAGGTGCACCAGGGCGATATCATTGCTGTTTTCCTCACTGTTGGGATCTCGAAAGGGGAGATAGCCCCCGTGGTAGACCACGGCCTGCACCCCCAGCTGCAGGCCTTGGGGGGAGGCCTGGGCCACAGCGCCGGCGAACACTCGCCATCGGGACAGGACCCGGTTCCGCCTACCAGGGAACAGGAGAGGAGGATGGCGGCTGCCGGGGCCCAGCCTGTCCCATGCCGCCTGTCCCCTGCCTCTCCCGCTGACACTCACTCAGGGAAGCAGTGGGCAGCTGTCAGCACCCAGTCTCCAGAGAGCAGGGACCCTCCACAGAGGTGGGCTCCGTCATAGCGAAGACTGACTTGCCACGGCCACCGGCCCAGGCTGGTGTCTTGGCCTCCCACGATGCGATCCACGGGCAGCTTCCTGCGGCCACAATCTGTGGGAGAGGCGGAGTCACGGCCCCCAGAGGGCCGGGAACGTCAGGACACAGCCCCACCCTTGGAGACCTATAGCAACACGGCCCTGCCATCCTGGGGGAGTCAGAGGACGCAGCTCCACCCTCGTAGGATCTAAGATGTGGCCAGGGGGGTGGTGTCTGATGGGAAGAGACTCTGGCCTGAGGGGTCTTTGGGGACATGGGCCCACCCTAGGAGAGTGAGGAGACACCGTCCCATCCTTGGGACACGATGGGGACATGGCCCCGCCATCCTGGCAAGTCTGAGAGGACACAGCTCCAGCCTGTAGGGTTGCACATGGCTGGTGTATGGGGGTGGGGGGCTGATGGGACATGGCCCTGCTCTGGGTTTAGGGGGCAGCTAAGGGAGAGGGCTCTGAGTTTCAGGGTCTCACCTTGGCAGACGGTAGCCAGGAAACGGCCCCTGGGGCAGTCACTGTGAGAGAAAGACAGGAGCAGAGGAAGAAACAAAAAGAGAGGCCAATTCAGACGGAAGCAAGGGCACCGAGGGCGGGCGGATGGGCGCCCCTGCCCGCTGCCCTCCTCACCACACGGAGATGACCTCGAGCAGCCTCCGGGCCAGCGGCAGCCTCCCCTCGTCCACGCAGAAGAAGCCCGACGTGCCGTTGGCGCCAGCCGTCCGCACGTCCAGCTCCGAGTGGCCCAGGGCCCTGGGCAGGCAGGGGTCAGGCCTGCTCCTCCCGCCCCGCCCCGCCCCGCCCCGCCCCGCCCCCGAGGGCCGCCCGCTACCTGAGGAAGCCCATGTCCTCGCAGCCCAGGCCCGCCACCCGGGCGTTGGAGCGCGAGGAGCACAGCAGCCGCCACGTGCCCTCCGTGTCGTCGAACACCATGAGCCGGGCGTCGGCCGGGCTGACCTGCACTGCAGGGCGACAGGACGGCCGCCTGGGTCACCTCCCCGCTGTGCCCGCCCGCCTGGCCGACCCCGCGGGGCTCCGGGCCTGAGTCTCCGCGGGGCCAGCACCAGCTGGGGCGTACCTACGGCTGGGAACCCGGGGACCTCTCGGTTGCCGCCGGGTTGCCCAGCCCGGCTGCGCATGCGCCCCCTCCCCCTAACCCCCGCCCCCGCGTACGTCTGGCGCTTTGCTTGGCGGTTTGGGAAGAGGGAAGCGGTTTTCAATCAAGCTCCGGAGAGAATGGCGTGTGCTGCTGCATCTCCTGGGGCCGTCTTTACCCCCGTGAGGGGAAAAAATCAGCCAACGTGGAGCAAAGCCAAGAGGGGTCTGCCCATTGATGAAGCCAGGCTTGAAGGACCCCCAGAATTGTTGGATAAGTTCATCATTTCCCTTTCTGTTTAGCCAGTTTGTTTCGTTTTTCCTTTTGTCTTAGGCAGCCTGAAGACCCTTGACTAACACACCAGATTGCCCAAGTATCTAGATACGCTACAGTTTTGTTTTGTTTTTTTTTTTAAAGGAAAGTAAGAAAGAAAAGCTATCTTTTCTGCAGGACTTGTCCGAGCCTTGAATATACTAAAGTGCATGACACTTCTCCAAGTAGTATTCACTCACTCATTCATTCATTCACCAAATAACTGTTAACTAGACATATACTCTATCCTCAGTCCTGTGTAGGGTGATGCAGGGGGGTGGGGGGGGCACAAAGATGACCTAGGCAGCCCTGGGTTGTGCCCTCACCAAGCCCAAGTCCAGGGGTGGGAGAGACAGACAGCATTAAAAAGTCACTCAACCAAACACCTCATTACAGACTGTGAGAAGAGGCGGGGTAGACACGCAGTAAGGCTGGCGAGAGCCCACGGGGAACTCCTTGTGTCTGGGGCCGGTTGTGTTGAGAGCTGCTTGCCCTCTTAGCCCCTCCCAGGGTGCTCCCCACGCATGGCCAGAGGACCTTTGTCACACCTAAGCCAGGTCACAGCCCTCAGGCATATGTGTTTACATTTACCACTCAGTGCGCGCCAGGCTCTATTTTGGGCAGCGAACTAATTGCCAAAGCAACACGCAAACCAGTTCTGCTCTGTGGAACTCGAAGACAGCAGGTGAGGTGGGTAATGAAAAGCACACATGAGTAAAATAGATGGGGCGTCACAAAAGGAGCCGGGGAGGCAAATCAAGCTCGACAGAGGCAGGGGCACCCTGGCGTGCGGGGTGAAGTTGCCATTTTCCATCGGCGGGCGGAGAGAGCTTCGCTGAGAAGGTGGAGTGTGAATGTAGATCTGAAGGAGGGGAGAGAGTCGTGAAGGTAGGTGAGGGAACAGAGAACTAGGCCACAGGACTGCGAGTACAGAGAACCCAAGGCCGGGGGGGGGGGTTGTTGGGGAGGGGTGCAGCAAGGAGGCTGGGGCAGAGTGAGCGAGAGGCAGATGAGCTGGGAGGGAGGCTGGGTCAACACCAGGATTTGCTTCTCTGAGGAGAGAGGGGCAGCCAGGGGAGGCTCTGAGCCAGGAGACTCCGGGGGTCACAGGCTCCCTCTGGCTGCGGGCTGGGAGCAGAGGAGCCGGGGACCTGGGGAGGGGCTGCCGTGGTGTCCAGGAGGGAGAGGATGGAGGCCGGGCCAGGGCAGGGACGTGGGGGAGAAGGGTTTAGATCCTGGGTCGGGGGGGACAGGGTTTGCTGACAGACTGGATGTGGCTGTGAAGGAAAGAGAGGGGTCAAGGACGACTCCAAGGTGTCTGGCCTGAGCCCGAGAAGGATGCAGCTGCCATTGGCCAGGATGGGGAAGGGGCGAGGGGAGCAGGTCTGGGGAAGGACCAGCTGTGACCCCCTGGGTCCTTTTCTCCTGAGCTTCCTGCATTGCTGATGCCCCTGAGCACATTCTAGGAAACCAAATCTGGGGCCAACTCAGTCTGGCAGCCTCTTAGGAGGAAACCGGCGAGGCCACACGCAAGCCCAGGGGTCTTCCCGTAGCCCCACAGATGCGGACGAGGGAGGCAGGGCTTCCAGAGAACTCTGTCGCTGAGAACCTGCTGTGTGCCCAGCACTATGCCTCATACCCTCCCCGACCACCGAAAGCAGGGCCTCGCCATGCCACCGCAAAGCCACAAAGATCCTCATTTTGATCAGATGAGGAGGCCCAAGCTTGGAGAGGTGGGGTGACTTGCCCAACACCACCGAGTGAGTGAGAAGCAGAGAGGGTTTGCATTCAGGCTTCAGACTCCAAACCCCAAGGTCTGTGTGTCGCCCTATGCAGCCTCTACAGCAGCCTCCACTCCTGAGGGTTAAATAGTAACCATGGGGGGGATGTCAGTGGGTTGGACCGTGTTATGCTGCGTCCTATCTGGAGGGGAGGTGGGAGGTGCCTTTTGAATCTCCCAACCATCCTGGGGCACAGAGATCACTTCTGTGCCCATATTGCAGATGGGGAAACTGGGCCTCAGAGAGGATATACTTGCCCGGGAGCCCACCGCTAAGAACCAGCAAAGGATTTGAACCCAGGCCTGCCAACCTGCATCCTCACCGCTGCTTCTGAGGGTCTCACACAGACTGTCCCCAGCCCCACCCTGGCCACACTTCCCCACAGCCAGTTCTAAGAGCTTCCTGGCTTTCTTGCCTTAATCACAGCCTCCTGCTCTGAGGTGTAGGCAGGCGATGCCTGGTGCCCCGGCTGCATGGCGCCCACCACCCCGAGTTCCAAGACCAAGACTTGGGGTTCAAACCACCAAGTGGGGGTGAAAAGCTTCCAAGTGTTCCAGATAGGGTGAGGCCTTAGGGGGAAAAATGATGACTTTATGGATATGTGTTGGGGAAGATGAGGGGAGGGAATATCTAATGCTCCCCTCCGATTATTTTTAAAGCCACATTCGGTGCTACCGTTTCTCACTTTTCAACTCTTTATTCTTATTTGTATCATTTGAAAAAAAAAAAATGTGTTCCGGATCACCTGGCTTGCTTACTAAATTGTCCGATATCGTTAGAGATGTGAAAATCCCAGAAAAATGAGGTGGGGATATAGTTTCACGTCTGTTTTTGTTTGTTTGTTTGGTTGGTTGGTTGGTAATTTCCCAACAGTTTTGGAAAACCCAAGTATAACTTGAGCAGGAGTGCTGGCATTGGCCGGAGCTGGGTCGGAATCACGGCCTCGTTACTTTCCAGCGGGAGGCCAAGGCCAAGGTAGTTCATGGGCAACTTATCTTGTGCGTATTCACTAAGCAAAGACTTCCTGAGCACCAACTACGCGCAGGACACCGTCTAGGGCAGCAAACAACGTGCCCGGCCTCCTGAAATTCACCAGAAGTAAATGATTGTCAGGGTGTGGAGAGTTTTACCCCAGCGACAGGCATGGCGTGGGGTCGGGGGAGCAGGAAGTCTGAGGTGCAGGAAGGCCTTGCTTAGGAACGTTAAAGCCTGATGGTGAGGCACGAAAGCAGTGTTTACCAAGTGGCTGTGAACCAAGCACTGCATGGACCGTGATCGCTCACTCCCCCCGCGCCCCTCCCCGCATACGGATGAGGATGTTGGGACTCAGGCAGGGCAGGGCTGATGGGAGACCCCAGGGCTCGGCAGTGACAGTGAAGAACTTTGAAACTGCTTCTAGCTGGAAAGAGGTGGTAAGCAAAGACGGGGCCCAGGAGGGTTCTTCAAGGCATGAGAATGGACCCTGGAGAGTGCCAGACGCAAGGTGAGGTGCGGGCGGAACAGGGGGATGTACCCTGGGAGGCTTGGAGCCACAACCGCTGGAGATCTTAGCCCAGGGGCAGTGGGGGGCTATAGAGGGGCTCTTAGCAGGGGTATGATCCCTGCCGCTTATTCAGTGTGCAGTCTTGGGCACGTCAGTTCACTTCACTGGGCCTCAGCTTCCCCCATCTGGAAAATGGGGATGATGATAAAAGCTCCAGATTCACAGGGTATTGTGCAAAAGTTACAGACAGTGCCTGGCAGGTGTTAGCTGTCGCTATGGTGACTTGCTTGGCTGTTTCTCAAGAAACAAGAGTGTAGTCGTTCTGCACAAAGCAGATCTAGGCTGCCTGGGTTCGAATCCCAGACCCGCCACTTACTAGCTCTGAGCCCTGGGCCTCAGACTGGGCAAGTCACTGGGCCTTTCTGTGCCTCGGCCTCCCCACATTAAAATGGGCTTTGGTGGAGGGTTAATGAATTGATACTGTAAAGCCCTGGGGCCCGCACCTGGCACCTGTAAATGCTAGTGCTGAGATGATGACCAACGTGGAAGTGGCCTTTCCTTGTCTGGATTTTCATTTCTTCTCTTGACATGAGCAGAGTCCTTTATGGAATTAGAGGAGGCTCATGGGAGTGAAACATACATCCTGACGCCCAAGTGTCCCTTTCTTCCTGCTGCTTTGGGCCACAGCACGGCAGCTCAGGGCTGGCCTTTGGGAAGATTCATCCATTCATTCTGCATTTAGTGTCTGCCTCTATTATTAGTGTGGCCATTCATTCCCAGCTGCCGGCAGACACAGCTCTACCAGGCAAGTCTAACAGCTATTCCTGGCCTCATCAACTACCAGCTGTGCGTCCTCTCTGGTCTTATTTTCCACATCTGCAAATGGGGGTCATAGAGGCAGCCACCTCCCGGAAGAACTGGAATGGATTGTCAAATTCATACCGAACCCCTCCAAAAAGCTTCGACCATGCCTCATAGTAAGGAACACATTGTTACATTACAGGGGGGCCCTGCACTTTCTGGGGCAAATCATCGCAATGCTCTGAGCCTCAGTTTCCCCATCTGTAAAATGGAGGGATAAACAGCACCACTCTCATAAAACCAAAACCAAAGATTAACAAAACTTTTTCTTACTGAGAGAGGTACACTGTGGTATTTTCTAATCTAAGCTATTTCATGCTTTTTAAAATGTGGTTTTCAACTCCCTGATTTAGTTTCACAATGCACCAGTGGGTAATGCATTTAGAATCAAGTGCTTAGAACAACGCCTGGGCCAAAGCAGGCGCTGCACACGGGCGCCCCATCCCTACCAGCATCCCTGCACGTGCTCCCGCAGTCACTCAAGAACTTTGGTCCGGAGCTCCCACCAGGTACACAAGTCTGGAGGGCTCCCCACAGGGTCCCGGCCTGCTTTACTCACCCGGATACAGCGGCTCCTGATCACTCTTGAGTAGAAAGGTCACTGCAGAGAAGGTAGAGGTGAGGGCGGGCAGGCGGGGGGCCGCAGGGGGCAGGGGAGGGCAGAGGCGCAGGGGCCACTCTCACCAATGGCCCAGGATGCTGCCCCGATGCCTGTCAGGAGCAGCAGGGTCCCCACAGCGAGAGCTGCCACCTTGGATCCGGAACAGCATGGCGCAGCCCTGCCACCTGCAACAGACATGGTGCTGGGGCCACAGTCACGCCTGTCCTCGTCACGGCAGGGTGTGGGCACGGGGCCAGCTCTGCCCTGCGCTCCCCCCCTCCCAGGGCTAACTTAGCACGCCCGAGCCTGCCCTGCCCTGGGTCCCATTTCTCAGGGCTGGCCCTCCCCTACAGCACAGACAAGCAGGTGGGAAGGGGCGTGGCTGGGACGGCCGCACCCCTGCCTCGTCCGGATGCAGCACCAGTGCCGGTGACGCGGTGCTTTGCTATCTCTTTCATTGCATGGTACCCTCTCTTTGAACCTCCCACTTCTGCCAACTCTCTCAGAGGTTCTTGTGACCCCTGACCTTTGCCCCCTTGGCAGCCCGCTTCCCTGCCCCACTTCGCCTCTCTCTGCTGCTCCAGTCCCTGTGTCCTTGGGTGTTCCCCCAAAGCCAGACCTCTCCCGCAGGACCCAGCTCCAAGGTCAGATGTGCCCCTGGAGGGTAAGAACCTAAGTTTGAAAATTTGGCAGCCCCACTTTACAATACTGGTCTTACTCTGTGCTGACAGCTCGGAGCCCAAGCCTGCTCGGGATTCTGTGTCTCCCTCTCTCTCTGCCCCTTCCCTGCTCATTCTCGTTCTCTCTCTCTCTCAAAAATAAGCATCAAAAAAATTTTAATGTTGGCCTTACCCCTCCCTCCCCAGGACCTTGGACAGGTGGCATCACCTCTTGGAGCCTCAGCTTTCTCATCTATTTAATGGGTACCCCCCCCCAGCACTCAACCTCTAAAGATAATACTTTCAAATTCTCTTAAATAATAATAGCCAGACTCTCATCCCGGGCTTATTTTCTCAAGCACTGCACTAAGTGCATTCACTCACTTACTCAGGCCTCATTTCAGTGATGGTTCCCATTCTCAAGCAGGGAGCACTAAGGCTCAGAGAAGTGGAGTCATGTGCTCAAGGTGGCTCAGCCAGCAAGAGGCAGTGCTGAGTCCTGAACCCAGGGACATGCAGTGGTGGGGCCCCGGTGTAGAGCCACTAAGCCAGGCTAGCTCTCGCCGTGCTATAGTGCCTGGCTCAGAACAAGTCCTCAGTAAATGCTTTTACGTCATTAGAGCTGTGTGGTCCTGGGCGATCCCCTTCGCCTCTCTGGGCCTCACTTTTCTCACCGGTACATTCTAGTCATTCATTGTCCCGTTCAAGCCTCCGCTGTACCCGGCCCCATTCTAGGCTCCGGAGACACATCCCAAAACAAGATGGAAAAGATGCTGGCTCTCGGCGCGGCGGGGCGGTGGTGGGGAGGCAAGGGGTGGGGCTCACATAGGTGTAAGGTTGAGGGGAAAACACAATTAGTAGACAAACTTGATCATTTCCAGACAGTGAGGTCTGTGAAGGAAATAACCCAGGACAGGGGCAGCAGGTGGCCTCTGGAGGGTGCTGAGGGAAGGTCTCCCCAAGAAGGGACGTTTGAGCGGAGACCTGAAGGGTAAGACCAGCTATCTAAAGATGTCAAGGAAGAGCACCGGGGGCAGAGGGAACAGCACAGGCGAAGGCCTTGAGGCAAAAATAAGCATGATCTGTTTGAGAGAGGCCACCGATGTGGCCAGAACGGCATGAGCTTGGGGGAAGGCAGGCACCTAGGCTGGGACCAACTAGGGAGGCCAGTAGCCTGAGGAGAAGGGGGCTTTTATTCCCAGGGCGACAGGGCCTTTGCTAGGCATTGTGGGAGGGCAGAAGATGCTGCCTAAAAGCCTTTGGCGGGAACTGGCTTGCGATGGCCCCGGCACCTGCAGGCCGTCCCAAGGGCGGCAGGAGCGCCCAGCTCTCCCCTCTGGGCCATGACTGTCCAGCCGGTGGGCCCAGAGCCAGACCGGCACCCAGAACGGAGCAAGGCGTGGTCCAGGGTCCTCCTGGGTCGGCCGGCGTCTGGGTGTCTTAAGAATTTGAGAAGCCAGGGGCGCCTGGGTGGCTTAGTCGGTTAAGCGTCCGACTTTCGCTTGGGTCATGATCTCGCGGTTCGTGGGTTCGAGCCCCGCGTCGGACTCAGTGCTGACTGCCAGCTCGGAGCCTGGAGCCTGTTTCAGTCTGTGACTCCCTCTCTCTCTGACCCTCCCCTGCTCACGCTGTCTCTCTCTCTCTCTCCTAGAAATAAATAAAACATTAAAAAAAAAAAAAAAGAATTTGAGAAGCCAGCGGTTCCGTGCGGGCATGAGGAAACAAATCCTCCCTCCCGCCGGAGGCCCCAGCGGGCCACGCCAGCCCTGGCCTCGGGCCCAGCCCCGCCCACCTGCCCCAACCCTCTTCCCGGTTCCAGGGGGAGGTCGTGGCTCCTGGAAGCCAATGGGCCGCCCTGCTCCCCTTGTTCTCAGGTGCCCGTGGGCTTTGGGCCCAGCCCGGACGCCTCGGGGGGCCTGTGGGGTGGCAGGCGCTGCCGTGGGGTGGGAAGAAGCTCCTTCCACGCCTTCTGGGTCTGGGGCTTCGAGTAACCCTAAAACAGGTACCCCAGGTGGGACAGGAGCTGTCCCGCTCTGGCTCCGCCCACACGAGAAGCCTCCTCACCGCACATCTTTGCTGAGGCAGGAAGCGTTCTCACTGGGGTGTGAGGCGGCCTTGCCCGACTCCGGACTCCCGGGAAGCAGTAGCGCCCCTGGCCCGGTGAGCAGCCTGGCCAGCGCCTCCCACAGGCTCTGCTCTCTGCTCCTCAGGGGCACCGAGGCTGCCGGCACCCCAGGCCTTCGCCCCCGCCCTTAGGCTGCAAAACCCTCGCAAGTGACACCTTTGGCTCCTTGGCCCTGAAAGTCAGGCTCGCGGCCCAGCCCTCACCATCTCCAGCTCCCACTAACTGAGTGGAGGCCTCTCTGTGGGCCTCTGGGACACCACACACGCCTGGTTTCCCTTCCATTTCTCCGGTGGGGCCCATCCCCTGACGCTCTTCTCACTCTCGGGAGTCCACAGGGTGGCACGTGGCCTTCCCCCACCCACGCCCCCGATCCCAAGTCTGTCTCACACACCTCCACAGCCTCAGTTTCCCCTTTCTGTCCTGCAGCCTCGCAGATGCCCCCACTCCCCACAGGGTCCGCCGGGTCCTTCACATCCGCAGGTCCCACGCTGGCCTCAGTGTGCTCCCAGCCCCCAGGTCCCGTGTCAGAGGCTCTCATCCTCAGGACTGTCCCTCATCTGCGGGACGCTCCCCCCCACACTGCCCCCCTCCCACACACAGCTTGCCAGCTCACAGCCTGCAGGCCCCCTCAGCAATTCCTGTCCACCCCCTCCTTCCCTGCTCCCACCCTAGCCCTGGGCTCAGCCTCCCATGTGGTCCAGCCTCCGCACGGAAGCCTGAAGATCTTCCTAAACACCAAATCCACCTTGTCCCTGCTTTATGTGGAACCCTCCATGGCTCCCCAGTGTCCCCAGGACAGAGTCTTAGACCTTCAGCCCTGTGGTGCCGGCTGTTAGAGATGTGGGGACTGAACCTATGTCTCCCCCAATTCCCAGACAGCCCTATGGGTCCTTATCAGACACCCGATAGTTTCCAAAGAGCAATCAAAGCCACAGAACTTGTCAGTCAGAATAAGAGAAACGGAGACTAACCACCAGCGCCATCTTGTGGAGAGACCCAGCACTGCCACGCATCGGCCGACCCTTCGGCAGAAATAGTCCTGAGACCTGCCTCCAGGCTGCTCCCCTCATCGCTCTCCCAGCTCTACTTCCGGTGTTATTTCCAGAAATACCCGGGTTGCCCACGTGCCGCTGCGCACCCAGCGGCTTGTCATCCCCTGCCTTTAGCCACTCTTCCCTCCGCCTGGCGCACCCTACGTGTTCCTACTCATCCTCTCAGCCCCGGTATCACCTCCTCCAATTCTGAGTCCCCAGGGAGCACGAAGAAGCGCTTGCCTTGGGCGCACTTCAGAGTAACACAGATGTCAGCAGCCACGAGGCACTGCTGGCTCTCAGAACCCCACGGGCCACTCGGCCCTGTCCTAGCCTGTCCACTTTCTTTTCATCCTTGCACCAGGTGTTAACACGGAAGGCAGCATTATCCTCATCCCGGTGTACAGATGAGGAAAGGAGGTCCAGAGAGGTGCAGCCACCTAGCCTGGGTCACCCAGCAAGTAAGCGCAGCACCGGAACCTCTCAGCATCTGTATCCAGGTGTGACCTCCGGCTCCAACCCCGACAGCAGGACTCTGCAGCGGGACCGGGCCGAGCTGCCCGGGCATGCGCTGGAGCCCCACTCTGCCTCGGGTCTCTCTGCAGCCAGGCCATCTACGGCCATTGCTCTGGGCATGACCTGCTTCCCCCTGTTCATTCACGCATGGGCCCCGGGCCCAGGGACCCCAGGAGGGAAGTCGTCCCTGAGGGCCCAGGCTCTGCCGCCCACCTGCTCGGCAAGGGCAAGTGCCCCCTCCGGAGCCACTGCGAGCTTGGGGTGGCTCTGGGCCACAGCTGCAGGGTTTGGGGGCGATTTGCTAACTGCGCCAAGACCCCAGGAGGCCAGCATCCACACTGACGGTGTCAGCCATTGCAGCCAGCATTCCCCGCCCAGCGTGCCATTCAGATCCTCATCCCACCCTGTGAGGCGTGCATTTGTGTCATCTCCATCCTACAGATGAAAGCTTGAGAACCAGAGAGGATAAGTCGCCCCGGGGCCTCCCAGCTAGAAAGTGCCACCACTGGGACCGAACCCAGCTAGCCTGGTTCCAGGAGGAAGAGAGGGAGCCGGCCCCCACTGGAGAGGGCAGGAAGGAAAGGCTGTTGTCCCCTGATCGGGCCCCTCCAGCTGGCCCCCAGGTGTGGGAGAGGTTGAGGGAGGGGAGGACTGTTCGGAGCCCCCACCGGAGCCTGCCACGCAGGCGCGTGTTTTCCCCCATCATTCCTGGAGTGCTTTCTCTGCGGCCTCTCCCCTCTCCATCCATCCTGGCCGAGTCCAAAGTCCTCCCTCTGCTCTTTTGCCCACAGTGCGAAAAGGTAGGAGGAATGTCTGGAATCGGTGGGGGTCTTGGGTCCCTGGGACACCAAGTCACCTCTGTCATAAAAGCTCCGGTTCATGGCATGTGTCTTACAGGCTAAGCCCCACACCGGTGCCTTGGGTGTGTTCCGAGCTCCCAACAGCCCCTGTACCTAGGCAGGTAGGTAGGTAAGTAGCATTAGGATCCATGGTTGACCCAGGGGTAAAACAAAGCCCAGAGAAATGATGTCCCTTGTACAAGATCACACAGCAAAAAAGTTTCAGAAGCCGGTTCAAGTACAGGCCTGTGCGTTCAGCTCCAGGGTCTGTGTCCTTAACCTTGATAGCTGGTCTTCCCCCCTTAGCCCCCAGGAGAGGACGGGTCCAGGGTTTGCTTGCTGAGAGATCACTGGGGTGTGAGGGGAAACTGAGGCAAGGAGCCAGGCAGGTCATATGGGGTAGCAGGAAGGCAGGTGATGGCACAGCCCCACAGAAAATTTGGTTAATAGTTAATCAGGTGGAGGAGACTTCAGACGGGGGTGGGGATGGGCCCAGGAGGGGTGCCAGAGCAAGGGGGCTCTGAGGGGGCGGAGGGCTGGGAACAGAGCACCGAGGGAAGGGGGCCAGGCAGAGCCAAAGTCGGGGCTCAAGGAAAAGAGGACTCACCCTCTTTCTCCGCCATGTCACGGCCTCTTGTTAATGATTCCCCGGCTGACCTCCTGGGCCGGAGTGGGACCTGTGGGGAGATGAAGGGAGAGGCAGGGCCTGGGGAAGCCGAGCCCAGCCCCGGTGCCCCCGGTGCCAGGCGCCCATCCAGGGAGGCTAGAGGGACTGGGCCCCGGCCAGAGCACGCCGTGATCACAGACGCAGATCGGGCTGGGTTCAAGGATGGGGTCAGTGTCTGACCGGCAGCCAGGGGACGCCTGACTTTGCAGGGCTGGGGGTCCCCCGTGCCTGGGCCTGTGTGAGGAGTGGACTGAAGGTCTGAACTCCTGGGGCTGAGGGAGTAGATGAGACCTGAACTCCTGGGTCCTGGGGAAAGAGGGATTTGGGGACTCTGAACCGCTGGGTATGTGGGAGGAGGGGCGTAGGAGCCTCAGCCTCCCAGGTCTGAGGGAGGAGGAGACGGGATCCCTATGTCTGAAGAAGAGGGGTTGGGATTCCAAGGTCCTTGGAGAGACTTCTGGGAGCCCCTCTGTTAGGGAGGTGAGCATTAGGTTGGGTGGGGATGAGGGGACCCGTGTCCCCGGCCTGGAACTGAGGGCCCGGGTCCTTACCCTGGGGTCCGGCAGGTGGGGGCGGAGCTGAGAGATAGTGCCCTTTTGGGGTCAGTCTCCAGGCCTGGGCAGGAGCATGGTGGCCCCGCAGCAGCGGTGGCCCGGAGGCAGAGGCAGCGGCGTGGGGCCTGCTAGGCCGGGCTGCCTCACCTGAGGAGGAGGGGGCTGGGCCGGAGGCGGGGGAAGGGGCGGGGAGGGGCAGGGCGAAGGGATTGGCAGCGCTGGAGGCCACCTGGCTGATGGGGCAGGGTTTGCAGGGGCTGGACCTGGCCGGCCCGGCCGGCCGCCGTGTCGCCTCCCTCCGGCCGGGAGGGGGCCCAGGTGTGCCAGTCTGAGGGGAGGTGGGAGCTGGGACAGGTCTGGTCTGAGGGCAGGGGGTTTGGGCAGACACGGCAGGCTGGGCGTGCTCGCGAAGACTGAAGGATGGGACTTTGACCTGGAGGGAACCAGACAGAGGGCCCCAGCGACCGGAGCCCACCCTGCCCCTGCCTCAGGCCGGGCCCCTCCCTGTCCACCCCTGCTTCTGCTAGCACCGCCTGCCCGGCCACAAGCCCGCCACTGCCCCTGCCATTTCCTGCCCCCAAGTCCAGCTCCCGACCGAGGCAGTCCGGGTCCCTGCCCCAGCCCTGGCCCCGGCCCCCCTCCCCCCCAGCTGCCTTCCTACAAGTCACGGGGGCTGGTTTGCTTTGGCAGCCTCTCTGCTGCCTGCAGCAGTGACCTCTGGAGCCTGGAAGTCCTACACCGCGGGGGGGGGGGGGGGGGATGGGGGGCTTGGCCCGGAAAAGGCAGCACTGAGTGCTGAGGCCCAGGCCAAGTGGCCGGAAGTGTCCACGGGCAGATACACACTGTCCCGCCAGCAGCCAAGAGTGATCCACGTCAGACCCCGGGGCCAGATAAACACCCAGACGCACAAGGGTCACCATCAGACACCTGCTTGTGGACAGCCATGCACCCAAACACAGAGCACAGCCGCTCACCCCACACACTCGCTCCACGCAGGGCCACAGCCTCTCACAGCGGGTCATGCTGGCGGGACCCCCACTGCCGCCCAGCCCCTCCTCTCCCTCTCCCCAGCTCCCAACACAGCCGAGCCCCACGCCGCTGGGGACACATTGCTGCACTCCCTCTCTTCTCTCCATAGCACCTGCCCTGCCCTGCTGCCCCCGGCCCTGCCCCGTGGCTCCCCTCTGCCACCCAACCCTTCTATACCACTCATAGTCCCCACCCCCACCCCAACTAATCAAGTACTTAGGTGGCTGTGCCCTTGGGAAGGCGAGCCCCACCCACCTGCTCCTTCCTTAGCCTTATCCCTGAACATGCGCAGAGACGCCCCACTGCCCGCCCTGGACGGCGGGTCCCCGGGAAAACGGAGGCTTTCGGATTTGCGGGGTGTAGAGGGGGATGGGGCTCACGAGAGAGACTTCTGAATCAAGTCCAAGAATCTTTATTTCATGAACAAAACTACTTGTGTGAAGAGAGACGAGGCTGAACGGGCCCCTTTCTAAGTGGCCACGATCCAAGGCTGGTGAGAGAGGGCAGGGTCGGGCTGGGGCAAGAGTGCATCACAGGGAGAGGGGACCCCAGGTCCAGCCAGAGGAAGGAGGGGAGACGTTGCTGGGGGTCGGAGTGGGTTCCAGAACCCCCTGCCCCAAACTGTGCCAGCCCATCACGACCCCCCACTGGGTGGGGGGCTGCGGCGAGGAGGGGCTGGGCCCCAGTAGTGTGCATCTGAAGCGGCCAGTGTGTGCAAATCAGCAAGAAGGAGGGGTGCGGAGCCGCTGCCCCCACCTCACCGCCCCCCTCCCAAACAGGCAGCAGAAGCAGGGGTGGGGGCAGCGGCAGTATTGCTTTACCCATCATGCATGGCGTGGGTGGGCAACGGGGCAGGAGGAAGTAGGCTGGATTGGGGGTGTGAGCCAAGCCCCCTGCTCCTCCCACCCTGGCGGCTCCGTTGGCAGGACTCTGGAGGCTCGTGGAGGCCCAGGGATGGCCAACCCCCACTGGGGGCAGGCTGTGCCCAGATGTTCCCCATTAGGGCTGGCTCTTCCTTGAGGTGGAGCCCAGGACCTAAAGGTGAGGGAGAGACAGGTGTCAGGGATCTAGTGGGCCGACACCCTCCTGGGTCCGCCAGTCCCTGGCCACCCACCTACCTTACCAGGGCTATTCGGCCACCTGGACGCCCGTACAGTTCTCTTTACTTTCTGAGGTGATGGCCAGGTATTCCGAGCTGTGGGGGGAAAGGCCAGGTGAACAGTGGCCCCCATCATCAGTCTGGCCCGCCCCCAGGAAACCGAGGAGGGTCGGGGTCTCTGCCCCAGGCGCACAGGGTTCTGGAGTTAGAGAGGAGGAGACTGCAGGCTAACTCCCAGGGATCCACAGGAAGTCCAGGCTGGGGCCGGGAGTCCTGAGTCTGAGGAGGGGAAGTCGGGATGTTCAGACTCACGGTTCCTAGGAAGGGAAGAGGCTGGGACGTGACCTTTTCCATCTCTGACAACAAACGTCCCTCTCCGGGAAACCCTGGTGTCTGGGCGCTGGGCCCCCTCCCCATCGACGCCACTCACGCATTCTCTTGTGCTGCGGCCTCCGTGGCCGCGGCGATCTTCTTATAGCAGTAAACCATCTCCGCCACAAGCCATATGGTCAACACCACGATGAGCACATACATCATGATCTCTGACACGATGGACGCCATGTCCCTGTTGGCTGCAAGCACCAGGCAGGGTTAGGTGGTAGTCAAGGCAAGGCTCAGGAGGCATGACAGCCTGAGGCGCCCCAAGCTTGCTGTGTGAGCTGGAGCAAGTGGCTTGGCCTCTCTGGTCTGCACATAGGACCATGTTGCTCCCCTAGAGGCATCATTGTTATCGTGATTCTTTTATAAATTTTTTTTAAATGTTTATTTCTTTCTAGTAGAGAGAGAGAGACAGCGTGAGCAGGGGAGGTTCAGAGAGAGAGGGAGTCACAGACTGAAACAGGCTCCAGGCTCTGAGCTGGCAGTCAACACAGAGCCCGACGCGGGGCTCAAACACACGAACCGCGATATCATGACCTAAGCGAAAGTCGGACGCTTAACCGACTAAGCCACCGAGGCGCCCCCGTTATCGTGATTCTTAATAGCCAGCCTCCTGTGGGCTTTGAGATCCCCCTCACCCTGCCTCCCTGTGTGGCTCGAGGGGGCATCTGTGTCATTCAGGTGGCAATAGGTGCCCAAGAGCTGTAGCTTTGCAGCCAGAAGGCTCAGATTCAAGTCCCCGCTCTGCCACTTGCCAGCTGTGTAACCTTGGGCAAGTGACCCATCCTCTCTGGGTGTGAGTTTCTCCATCTGTGAAAAGCTGATAATGACAATATCTCCTTCTTGGGAGTGTTGTAAAAATTAAGTCTGCTTCGAAAATCCTTAGAATAGTGCTTGACCTATAGATAGCATTCAATAAATGTTTACTATTATTCATACTAGTATTACTGTTGAGAGCGGAGGCTGTGGGGGCAGACTGCCAGGGTTCAGATCCTGCCTCTGCCTCTCACTAGCTGTGTGACCTTAGGCAAATGACTCCACCTCTCTGGGCCTCAATTTCCCCTCTGTAAATGGAGATGATAATACTCATGCCTTCTCGCAGGGTAGCTGTGAAGAGAAAACAAGTTAATATCTGTTATTAAGCACATGCTTGGATGTGCTCACACTCAGCACTGCCTAAATGTTGGCTATTCACTGACATTTTCCGGAAACCTTCTATCCTTTCCATGGCACTGGCTCTTACCATTGCCAGCTTCCTTTCACTGAGCCTAAATTTAAACTGCGAAGGGGATGCAGTCAGCCAGGGAACCAGAGGCGAAGGCCACTGCGGCGTGCTCGGCTGGATTTCATGGGTGTCCACTCCGCATCCCTGGGCCCCTCCCTCCTGATAGCTGGGACCTCATTTCCCCTGTGTCCTCACACGGTCTTTCCTTCCCTGTCAATGGCACTCTCGCTGCTCCACTGGGTGCAGATGGCACCGACGCTTTCTGGGCCAGAGTGAGGGAGGGGGCGGGCTGGATGCTTCTCCTTCCTTCTCTGCTGGAAGGAGCTGGGGAGAGGGGTCCACACATCATTCATTCGTCGGTTCTTGCATGCATGCATGCATGCATTCATTCATTCATTCAAAAGATATAAGTGTGTCTCATACGGTGAATGTGCACTTTCAGCCAGGCTCTGTGCTAAATTCCTTATCTGGGCATCTCACTGCATCTCTGAAACACCCCAAGGATAGAGATAGTTCTGGCTTCCCATGTCAACTGACCTCAGGAAGCACACCGAGTCCGGTATACACTGGATAAAGCTTACACGATCGGGATTCTCCCCCCTGCTCCTGGAACTCGATGCTCAAATGGATTTAGGTGATCTGGTACCCTCTGCCCTCCCAATCGGATTAGGACAGTGACAGGCACGGCTCTGTAGCCCATTTTCCAGACAAGGACGCTGAGGCTCAGAAAGCGGACGGTGCTAGGCAAGGAGGCACAGCCAAGGTTGGACTCGGAGCCGGGATACAACACCAAGTGTAACCAGTTGCAGGGTCCGAGCTCTCATGTGCCCTGGGAACTACGACAGCCAAAGGAAGACTTGGTAACGGCTGCGGTACACCAAGTGCGGCCCCCGTCCAGCCATACAGACACCCCAGGAGGTGGGACTGTGGCGCCCCCACTTCACAGATGAGGAGCCGAGGCAGAGGGTAACAGCCACCTTGTCTGGGGAGAACTTTGATTTCTTCAAAACCCCCTAAGTCTTCTAAAAGCTTCACCCGCCTGCCCACGGGGGGGAGCCTCCAGATATGGGGTCCCCGCCCGCATCTGTGCATGCTGGGTTTCTTGCTGGCCTCAGACGCTGCTCTACCTCCAGACGTTTTCCACCCATGCTAGGTATATCCAAAATAGAAGTAGCCCTCTTGTCAATTTGCCGGCTCCACTCCTAGTGGGGGACCCTGGGTGCTTTTCCCATCTCCTGCAGCTCTGCCTGCTTTGCAAAGTTCCCGCCACCAGCACCCCCTGGCCCTCCTTCAGAAAGGACTGCATTCATTCCTTGGGGTTATTACCAGGAGGCAGTGCTGGCTGATGGCTAATGCTGAGAATGCAGTAAGATTGTGGATTATAATAAAAAAGA